GACCGACAAACTGAATATATATATATATATTATTAATACTAAACGTATTTATTATTCAACACACAATACTTAATGTGTCGCTATAACCACATGCAATAAAATATAAATCAAAGTTAACTAGTAAAATTTAAAGTTCATATCCACTCAAATGTAAAGTTCCATTTGGTATAGCCCGTTATATCCTCCATTTTTGAATTTTAGCACGAAAGTTCAGTTATCATATAATGTCAAATCCGTCCTTCTAGACAGTGCATAGCGATTGTCATCTGCCACTCATTGTATATGGATAAACGTCTTATTCGCGCACGTTGGCATACGTGTAGATAAATGTTCACAGTTTCCTTTACATCCACGAATGTCCATGTCCAGCGTTTACGAATATATCCAAAATGAATGAAGCAGAAATGCATGTCAAGAAAAACTTAACTACGTATATTATAACAATCATCATCAAACTTGAATACAGTCACATTTAACAGACAAGATTTTAACTTGGCATAGTATTATCCATCCAAATTATTATGATAACAATAAAACATATATGGAACCATGCTAATAATACGATACTTTGTTCAACAATAATACTTATGCTAATAATAAAAATAATAATAACGCAATCTGGCGTCCCAGATGCTAGTATTTATATGACGTCATGCGCACACTTTTATACCTCAAATCCGCATATTCAGTCATCCATAACCACATTGACATCCGTCACATCTTAATCATTTTATTCATCACAATATATCAAATAATATCCAAATATGGCCATTTATCCTTGCATCATTTATTCTCATTAAATCATTTGTTCCACTCGATCTTTTGATTGCCAATATAACCACATTATCAACTGACAAGATCATTTTAAGAAGATCGTCGAAATGCCAGTGATTAGGACTTTAATTAAGGCAATTTGTCGAGAAAGTTCAAACTTTTCTCCAATTTTATTCTTCGCAACCCGAAAACATAATTTTATTGAAGGGACTTCCAATAAGGTAGATTAATCAAAATCTTAATGTTTGCTTGTCACCTTCAAAGGTGCATGCGCACTATCGATGATATTTGACATTGCAAGGGGGTAGTGGGCGAAACAGAAGGGGTATTCTTATGGAAAGAATTATGATTCATCATCTGAAATTACGCAGACTGTAAGTCCAGGAGCCCTAAACCGAAACAAAGTGCAATAATAATTAGTATTGCCTGAAATTAAGGTGAATGCCATTTAAGTGTTATATCCTGTAAAAGAAAATTTAAAAAGGCGAACAACGAAAAATTCATTCGCTGCCTGGCTAACCTGGAAAAATAAACTATTTTATCAATATTGATTAGTGCAACATTTTTGTTCAAGTCAACAACAAAATATTTTCAAATGCATTTCTCCGTCTTGTCACGAATTTTTCAACAGTGAAGTGAGATATCTCAGCTATTGGCATCTCTTCAAATATTCCGCAACCTGTAAAAATCTTAAGGTCAATAGATGCATAAAATGTAAACGGAAATGAATTTACTTAATAAACATTAGAAGTATAAAAAAAAATGAATAATGTTTATATTTATCTAAATTAGCAGGTAACGGAAAATATAAGACATACAAAATATATTCACCAAACAAATTTTATAACGAGTCTACAACCAATTCAAATTATTTCTTTAATCAATACTCACACTTACTTACGTGAATCTTTTACGGATTCCGAGAGGAAATGAGGGACAACCATATCGCCGTTGAACTCCTAATAGTATGGTCCTAGAAAAGACTTAGCGTACATGTTTAAAAAACAAACGTCNGACCTGTATTAAGTTCATGACTAGTTACTTCATCTGTGGCCCAGAAATCATCATTTGTTCCTATTCGAGCATTAAAATCTCCTATTAAGCAAATTTTATCGTATGTAAAGCTTATGGCAAGATATTCTCTTTCAATTTCATTAAATGCATCTGGTGAGCTGTAGTTAGACTTCTCAGGGGGTATATAAACAACACCTAGGATACAGTCATCATTAAAGTCTAAACATGATTCATCAATTTTAAACCATTGAATGTATTCTGAGTCATTTTCAAGTGGTTCTATAAAACTAGCTAATTGATTTTTACACCCAAAAACTATTCCACCTGAACGATAGTTTGAAAATGAAATAGAAACATTTTCATGCTATGAGATAATGCTGTTGCATCAAAATACATCAGTATAATTTTGCTATCTCGAGCTGATGACGTAACGGCAGCGTGTTTGGTGTGAAAACTGCCAAAGCGATTTCAAACGGATCCTCCTCACCTGAACAGTTACCAACGCCACAATTACTCCTATTTAATCACAACAGTAAATGCTACAATCCGGTGCCAGCAAATTGTTTTGAAAGGCTTACTTCCGATTTTATCAGTAACAAGGCGAAATCATACTAAACTCAGCAAGTCTTCATTGACCAGATAAACCAGCAGCAGTCGTATAAAACAAAATGTTGCGACTGGTTTATGACAAGAAAAATACTACTAATGTCACTTTACTTAACTCTAAGTAAGTGGATTAATATGGAACTATCTTGACCTAAATTTGATCAAATTATATTTGTCAAAACTGGGTCTAGTAAATGTTCCCCGTACCCCACGTTTCAGATTGTTCTAAGCCGCTTGCCGCCATGTTAAACGTAGCCTCCTCTGGTAACTAGTCGTGTGCCTGTTAAAATATGTCGTGCTAATACGGGTAGGTATCATATGAAATGTTGACCATTTAAAAAATAATGGCTATTTTTTATTCAGAACTCAAATTTACATCATCTGACTTAGATTATGGGACTATAGTTCATTTTGAATACCAGGACTTAATTGCTTAGGCATACATTTTATAAGGATATTTGAAATTTGGCATTTAGCATTATTTGATATTGGACATTTTGGATAAACTGCAGACACATCCGTTTTTATTTGTATGAAAACCAATTGTATTAATTAAAAATAACGGTAACAGTGATCTCACTTTTGATGTTCTCCTTACTTTTATGCGAGTAGCTAGACCATTTAAATTTATAATTACCAAAGCGTCAATTCATGAATAACACATGGAACATTTTTATTCTACATGAATATTTGATAGAAAGATATTTTCAAGTAAAAAACACTGGGAATGATAATAACTCAAAACAAATATTGAAATACAAATCGGCGTCTATACTACAAATATGCCTACTGAATGTTTCGCATAAATGCCGTGCAAAGTATCATTGGATACACTGTATATATGGAAGAGATGTGGCATCCAGGGGTGGTGTAGCGCACTTGACTTAGTTGACATATGGCTCTATTAATATATCATTAGCGATTTAAACTTTTGTATTCATAAACTGGCAATGTTTTCACATTTGTAATTCAAATGGCACATTCTGCTCTTTATGTTGTACATATAAGTTCTTGAATATTTCTTCCAGACTGACTGAACGGTATGAAGAAAATAATTTAGAGCCCTTTCAGAACAGATGATACGCGAACTAACGGACCGACTCAATATGGCCAACCCCACTAAAAGGCAAGCCGCCCTAAATCCCTGACGGCCTCCTCGCCTCCACGCGCGCCATTAAACAGACTAAAGCTCGGCTCCAAGTTTTAACCGCTAGGCTCCTGTCAGTATGGAGGCGGGGAGACCATCAGGAAAGAAGGAGCATCGCTTTTAAGTGGATCAGCCATATTTGGTCCGTGGCTTTGTTAGTCCGCGGATCAACTTGTTCTAAATGCGCTCTAGAGCAGATCCCTTAGTTCCTATAATGACTATAAGTAGGTCATAGCCAATATGTTTTAGGCATTTTGCGTGGTGGTCCACTTGAGAAAGGAATGAATTTAGGTCGTCACGTTATACAGAACACTTCAGATTTTAAGAGCCTGTCGTGGGATTGCGCTTAATTAAGAACTATTGAATCGAGGGTGGTGTTACACGTTTGACACGCAGTTACTCAGATGACATATTACTCTCTTATATCATTTGTAATTACAACTTTTATATTTATGAAATGGTAATATTTGCACCTTTGTGATACAAATAGCACATCAGTCTGCTTTTTGTGCTGCCGCCTCTTTCACAATCAACCTGCACAGTACCAGGTGTACACTTACCTGTTTATATAGTAAAATGGCAGAACTCTTATTTCGCTTTGTTTCCAATTATGAGACATGCCAGTTGATAGTAATGAGCAAGCACATCTATTTGTCTTTCATGAAAATGTCCAGAAGTAGATATTATTCGCCGAAATTGTGTTGTTTCTGGGCGTTCGTATCGTATGTACATGTACATATATTTGAATTAAATACTAGCTTATATTGATATTAGGTTTAAAGGAATATATAACCTTGCTTTTCACATGTTATTTCATGCTGTTGTGGGCCACAACGCCAAATCCTTCAAAGCTATACATATATAGAAAAAATAAAATTATAAAAAATGCACAAGAATTTATCAAGCAGTGTTTCTGGTAAGACAATAAACCTCTGAGTGAAATGACACAGACAGGATGAACAAAACTATTGGTATGCAATAATGATAAAATGAATACTAAAGCTGATGTTAACTGCCCGTTTTGGCTGACACTTGTCAATCATCTGCGGTGTAAAAAAAAAAAAAAAAAAAAAAAAAAAAAGAGAGAGAGAGATGGTGCAAATGAGGGCAAACAGCGAGGGTTATCCATCGTCAGCTATAAGAAAGACTGAGGCGAACAATAGGTAGGTAAATTCCCATGCACAGGTACTCCTATAGCTGTTATGTTTTCATTTTGCAATTTGCAAAGTACTTATACAGTGTATGAAATCCATTGAGACCAGATGCTCCTAGAAAACTTTAAAACACCGCCAATTCTAGATCTCTGACCTTACTTTAATTCATCATCCAAGTCATTAATAAAAATGAAGTACCAAAGACACTATTAATAAAGATGCCGCTTGTATCTAGTGGGCATGTTCTTCTTAACTTATTTATATATACATTAACGAACAATACATCTCTTTTGGTATCAGTGTGACGTACATAACAAAACATGTCACATACTGTAGGAACCGCTTGAATTTTAAATTGAATGTAAAGGATATGCATTGTTCACGTTATATATAAAGATATTTACCTGTCTCATTCGAACGTCAGGCACGAGACGGGGACAGAATGTTCATGTTGTTGTCGTTATCCCGGTTGGCGGTTACCGCCTTGATAATTCAAAGCCTGGCAATTTGCATGGTCTGGAGCTCTCTCATTCCCTCCCCGCCAGGATGTAGCATTGGCCGGCCCATGAAAGACTTGGATATCAACCAGGTAGGTTCGATATCATCGCATTATTGAATTTTTTTTCCATCAGTTATTACCTCCGCCAAGGAGGTTATGTTTTCACCCCTGTTAGTCTGTTTGTCCGTCTGTCATCAACATAACTCAAAAAGTTATGGACCGATTTTAACGAATTTTTTAGGAACTGTCAGAAGTGGGCCAAGGAAGAGATGATTAGTTGTTGGCGGTGATCCGGATCAATAATCAATCAATAATAATCAAAAATTGCTGCCTTGGCGGAGGTCTGCGCTCTCGGAGTGCTTTTCTAGTTTATATTTTAAATCTAGGTAAAGTGAAAAAAAGATAAAAGGTAAAGGGTAAAAAGAGTAATTTTAATCTAAAATTCTAAGAAATTTGTGGTGTACTCTCTTGCCAAAAGTGAGGGGATATGCCGAAAACTGAAGATTGAATATTATTCCCACGTTTACCGGGATAATTATAACAAACCTTTGATATAGCTGACTGTATCATAAAACAATTTTCAAGTTACGATTTAGTGGACATAATCCCTTGGAAAGGAGTTGTTTAAAGTTGTGTATCCGGTTAACAGATCTGAGCAAAATGGCAAGACACGTGTACACTCTAGACTCAGTTCCTGTTATTCGCTGTCGCAAGTCAGCTTTGTTCAGAATATTTGAAGGATGGCAATGCGTCGCCTTAAAGCCAGGGAGAGAGCTTGATCGCCATTGTGGATTTGGTGTTCTGGGTGCATACAAAGGGATGGGCCTATATTGCTAACCGCGTTGGAAACACTCACGGTACTGTCTGTAGGATCATTCAGAGGCGACGTTAAAAGTATCATATGCGACTAGGCATCATCACTGGTTGTCCTCGTAAAACAGTGTTCAGCCTGGGTTGGGTCCTATATTCTACCAGATGTTCCGCCAAAATAGAACATTGTAACGATCTTCTCTGAGGAATACATGGGAAAAAGCATAAAAACGAGTTTCCAAACAGCGCATTTCAAATTTGCGGCCTGGGGCATGAAGTACTCCTGGGAAAACATTTTGGCCCTAAGTATTAAGAACCGTCGCCAAGAATAGACCCGCCAACTTCAATTGCCAAATATTCTACTCAAAGTATAACCTCAGTAATAATAATAATAATAATAATAATAATAATAATAATAATAATAAAAGGATTATTTTGTCGTCTATTCTACTCAATAAGTGCTTTGGATATAGTTTGTAGGAAAGTGGTACGGAATCGCAGTCACGCCCCTGTCAACCGATATCCTAGGAACGTGGAGAAACTATCAGAAATACATCAGCTTCATTGATCAAAGCCAAGGCGGTCCTTACGTTGGAGTTAACAAGACATCCAGGTAATGTAAACAAACATTAAGACCTCTGATTGCTTTTTTTCTTGGTCAATTAAAACGAAAACGCACAATACATTAACCTTTTACCCTCTTTTATCTTTTGAGCCTTTGGGACAGTTACATGAACAATTCTAGTTTTCAATCTAAACCATACAATATCTGGGCGATATCTTTAAATGAAAGTCCGTTTTGTCGAACATTACACTAGGTCTAACACAACAATACATTTCATTTATAAAGAATGTTTTTATCGGATTTTTTAAAATAATTCTAAGAATCAAATAACTCCCATTAGAAGGATAGTGTAAATCTCAATTATTTCATTAATTGGCGTTTTGGGGCACAATTTGATGCTTAACACGAATGTGACGAAAAAAATTTTTTTTTCTTAGACAACTATTTATGTCAGGAAACTGATGATTTTCAAATCGCCATTGTGATTGGTTATTGTGAAAAAATAATTGTCAAATTTGTGTTCATCATTCAAAACTGCTTCAGAAAAAAACATTTTGATGAAAGAATTGAGGTTCACCCAACATTGCTATGCACATGTTTTCAAATATAAAAAAAAACAGTTACTGACAATATTAACGCTCATAGTCCATAATTCGCACCGAAAATGGTATTTTTGGCCCGCGTTGCCTATAAAAACACATGTACCTCTAGAATTTTCTAAACAAAAAGTTATCAATTACCCTATCTCACTATTAGTACTACCCCAAAGACAAATACAATTATGAAACAGGGCAAATTTTCCAGTGACAAGTCATAATCGAATCATTAATGTTATTCATATTTTATTTCAGTGATGGATATAAAAATACCTGTACAGAGGATTACAACAAATTCTACACAACTGAAGAGGAAGGGATATTTGCCCGAGACGACAGTGAGGGAGAGACATTTATTTTCTTTGAGCCTTTGAATCATGATTCATTTGAAAAACATTATTCACGTCTATGCTTATAAAGAGCCATTCATTGCCATTTCATATCATGTTATGTACATCAAATGTTGCATCTACATGTCAGTTCTTTTTTCATGCTGTTACAAAATTCATATCGGCCTGGAGACTGATATGTATATTTAATTTTCACAACAAGTCCCGTTTCCAGTGAAGATGGGTCGATCTTATTTTGTACAGTCCATCTCAGCAGGTGGTCTGAATACACAAAAAGTGGTGATTATATAAATACCTTTGGGACGAGAGGAGACGCGGTAATCTGTTGATCTGAATGCATTCAGCGAGAGTCACCGCGGCGATGAATCGACCTACGTAGAACGATACTTTTATTGGGGATGGGTCCTTAAACTGAAATTGACCAAATAATTTACCTAAAAATTGAGACCAATTTTCTGTCTAAAGCAAAAGAGGCCTCTGTAAACCCGGCGTTGTGCTAGGTGCTTTCGATATGTACGTTGAATGCGAACAAAAATATATATATATATATACGTTGATCCCAATCACTATTTAACTATATACACACTTGTGCCTTGCAATTGCTGTTTCCAGAAGCTGATCCAGATGTTTACGTACTGGTAATTGACACCGACTACAACAACTACGCCTTGACACACGAATACTTTGTGAAACTCAACGAGAGTCTTTTCGGCTTCTACAGCAGAGAGTGCGTACCACGGCGATCAACACTGAATGTTCTGAAGAGACTGTTAGACCGTGACCCGTGTCTTCAGGTGGAGAACTTCATAAAGGTGGAACACGTGGGTTGCGAGGGTAAAGAGTTGGATGAGGCCTGCAGACGTGATCCCTGGGCGAAGTTCTGGACTATGTTTGCTGCACGTGGGCGCAACTGGGAAGGAGCCAGAGGGAAAGGCGGGCGCCGTGGCTAGGCAAAACAGGAACATTAATACTGACCTGATGGAATAGCACTATAGTATCTCATAGGCTTAAACAAACGTGTATTCATTGCTCTTTTCCCAATCAGATTTCCTAGCTGGCACCTCTATCAGCCGGTAAACATTTTGTTACAGAAGACGATCGGTTTCTTAGAAAAGGTTCATCGGTGTTGCTTGAAAGTCCTTGGAATTTCACTTTTTTTACCACCTAAAATTTTAAAAAACATTTAAGATATGATGTAAAAATTGCCTGATGAAGAAAATTCTGGCTTTGGCATTGCTGTCATGTGCCTGCATGTTAGTGTTTCCTTTTAGTGTGTGTTAAAGGTATCCTTCCCAAGCTTAAAAATTACCCAAGCTATTATTTCCATCCTGCAAATTTCTTTCCCGATTTGGACTTAACACATGATAAAAAAACTCTAAAATAAAATTTTATGTGAAACACACCTTATGTAGTTTTTATTTCTGAGCCTTAGGTCCTTGCAAGATCCAAGCCATGCCATTTCGCAACTTCAGAAATTTAAGAAAAAATCCATATTACACGCAACACACAGCCAACAACGCATCATTTCCTTGTGTTTTAATAAACGATTCTGCGCAGTAGGAACGCAGGTGAAGTTCTAGATGCTAGTGGAAACACTTGGAATTAAATTATATAATTCAAGATTGTTGAACACGTTTCTGATTATAATTTTGCCTGATGAGAAAACAAAAACGTAGAAAATGACTGCGCTGATGAACCAAGTCCATTGCCATTTTTTTTTTTTTTTTTTTTTTTTTGAGTGGTAAAGTTTGCTAGTTGGAAGAAAGTGTAACAATGCCATACTGGTACATGTATGTGATTGCACTGAATATTCATCCGTCTTCATTTTAGTAATGAAAAGTGGCCAGTGCCCTGGACTTTAAAGGGACAGGGAGGTTAATTGACTTCTCGCGTAAGTGAACACGGACATTTAAGGTCCGAAATGTAAACGTTATGATAATTATTCACCCTATCCTCTCTCCCTGTGTAATACGGTCTCTTTTTCCTGTCTCCCATTCTGTATTCAGAAAGGATACAAGATCAACATGATCTTGTTGCTGTCCCGGATGGCGGTGATCGCCCTTATATTGGGAAGCCTAGGAATCTGCAGTGCCTCTCTCATCCCTGCCCCGTCAGATTGCGACGTAGACCCCATGAGAGACTTAGACTTAAACAGGGTACGTTGCTGAGTTATCGAGTTTTCCTGTAAATTATTCTTGTTTGAGATCTGGACAATTTCAGATATTAGTTAATAGTTTCTGTTGAAAATTCGTCTGTCTAGTTTATTGATAATGATTATAATTTTAAGCTTTTCACCTTCTAAACAGAATTGAGCTAAACCTCACAAAGCTTTCGGTCACAGCGTGACTTTCCCACGTTGTTATCAATGCACTATTCACCAATATATACTTGCCAAAAAATAAAATTAATAAATAAATAAAAATCAAAATTGAATCAAACCCCCCCCCCCCCCCAAAAAAAAAAAAAAAAAAAAAAAAACGCAATTTTTTGTTCTGATCACAGTGCTTCAAAATGACCAAAAGTGAACATTTTAGTCTGGCCACTGAATTCAGAGACGGAACACAATAGATTTTTAGACATCTCATCTGAACACAAATTAGGACGAAAGTCTTGCAGAAATCAGTTTGTTGTGCACAATCAATGCTAGTGGACACTGAATTTAGAAAACCAAGTTTAGGAGAATGGATTTCATTTTGGCATCATGCCTGAAACGTACTTTCCAAGTTTACTTTTTCTGGGCGTTCTAGATGGATAATAATAATAATAATAATAATAATAATAATAATAATAAAAGGATCATTTTGTCGTCCATTCTACTAAGTAAGTGCTTTGGATATAGTTTGTAGGTAAGTGGTACGGGATCGCCATCACGCCACTGTCAACCGATACTCCAGGAACTTGGAGAAACTATCGGACAATCCTCAGCTTTATCGACGAAAGTCAAGGTGGTCCTTATGTCGGAGTAATTCACACATCAAGGTAAAGTTGGCAAACATAAGGTTTATCGTTGTTATTGATCTTATCGGACGTTTAAACCGCAATATTTCACCGTTTTCCATTTTTATATTAACCCGAGGGGCACATTATAATACTTTTCAGTCTAAAACTAACGCTTCACAAAATATTCAGATAAAATCTAATTATATTATCGCCAACTGAAATATTTTAAAGTATGTTTTGTTTTCTGGGTAATTCTATAGGGATAAAGTGACTCCTATTACCTAAAACACTTTTTTTTTATACAAAAGAGCGACATTTATTTAGCTACCCAAATCAATAAGCACTTATATTTTCTTCCAGTAACGGAAACGAAAATACCTGTTCGGAAGATTATCACAAATTCTATCCAACTGAAGAGGAAGGAATATTTGCTTTAGATAACAGTGAGAAACCTTTGGCTCATTTTGAATCAGTATCAACGTGTTAAAACGATTTACGTGTATAATGAAGGCTAAATTGTTATTTAAAGCCGTTGCATGTGCTTACGCTCGCCACAAACATTGACCATGCGCCATTAAAGTCCACCTTAATGTTGTTACGCTAGGCATGCCCTGCAAGTTTTATTTTCACCCCAATTCCCCTTAAATTTTCGGCCGAAGTTGAGTCGACCTAACTTGGCAGTCCATCTCAGCATTTAGTAAGTTACGGTTAGCTCAAAACAGGACGCGAATGTAATCAGTCTGTTATCCCATTATTATTGTGGAGAGCCGTAGAACGGTGCGTTCCTAGATAGTTTACTTTTTTACTATGTTACTATGTTAATTTGTTTTATGCTGAAATTTAGTTTGACCTCGCCTTGGAAATAATAACGAATATGTCCAAGGCTTCACCAATGACGTTGAAGAGCACAGTAGGACAGTTTTAGTTTTAGTAATCCCATTAGAAGAGGGAATCATTAAAAAACTTATGATACGTATAAGCTGATGCGCATTCCATTCAAACAACTGCGACGAAGCCAATTTTGAGAAAAAATATATATTTGGCAAACAATTCCGCCGGGAAGATCCCATTTTTTCTGCTGACCGCAGTTTACAGGTGGTATGACGTAGTGCTATAACGGGAAAGCTGCTGACGCAATTCAAGTTACGTCGCATTTTTATTTTATAAGCCTGCCCGGAACGTTCCTAGTGAGATGATTTCGGATGCTGTTATTTTCATTTTGTTTTACAATGAGTTTACGTTTGACTTCACCTGTTACGTTATTAGGACGATTAGAACCAAAGCGGTTAATAAATTGGCGTTTTTGGTTGCGAGTAGTCTTTGCCCTTTCAAAAGTCCACTGTGGAGTTGCCCTAGGTACTGTACGAATATATGTACAGTCTTGATAAGCAAGGCCAAAGGAGGGGAAGGGGAAGGATTTTTTATGCTAAAAAGTAAAAGCAATTGCAGCAATGTGACTTTTGAAAAAACCTTTCTTGCTGATAATCTATCGAGCAGATGGCTTTTTTTATGAAAGGGCTGCGTTTCATGCATGACGCCATGCAATAAGTTGTCGTCAAAATCGAGCACTAATTCTAAACTATACCGAATTTTTATGCAAAAGGTAATTTGCTGGGACACACGAGAGCCTACATTCGTATTCGACTGCGGGACCAGCTCGTTGTTATGGTGAACTGACATGCGTGATATGGGGTTTGAGCTCGTGACTTGTCGTTCCCATGGTTTGCTTATAGCTTGGTATTTTTTGCAACCAAACACGCTACCGACTGCGCCGTGATCGAACCGCCCACCCTCCATACGAACGAGTTTCCTCTTATGGTAATCAAAGGCAATTTTTAGAAATTATTTCGAGCAAAAAAAGTTTCATTGTAAACCTTAGGCTTCGAACCCGCGTGTAAGTGTCTAGTTGTGCCCAAGACGGCGGCGTTACCACGGAGCCACAGAAGCTTCGTTGTAAAGGTGTGGATCAAATGTAAACTATCTACTTTCTCTCAGAGAGAGCCAGATTGGCTGTACATGTATATATCTGCCATAACAATCAATAGGCCGTGAGCCGTACATATGTATTCTATCTCGCGCATCGCCAGTCTGCGAACATGGTATTATTATCAACGTTGTTAAAGTTCACGAGCACTTATTTTAGAAGCCGATACGGAGCGTTCCTGGATAGTTTTCTTTTTTTTTACTATGACAGGGGAAGATCCAGGATTTTTTGAAGGGGTCCGCGGATGCGAAGTCAAACCTTGCCCTCCCCCCCTTGGTGTGGGGTCTGGGGCCCGCTGAAGGGACAGGTATTTTAAAAGGCGAATCGAAGGGGGGGGGCAGGACCCCCCTGACACCCCCTAAATCCGCCATTGTTTACCGTGCCACTTTACCAGGTCCTACAGGTAATTCGCCCAAGGGGGGGGGTCCCTTTCACTGGTCACAAGGCTCCCGAAAGCTAGCCATTTGGGTGACAATCTTACGTAATCCTAAACATTAAATTGACAGTCTCTCCAGGAGCGGATCCAGGATTATTTCAATCACGGTCTGATTTTTTAGGAATGACAGGCCTCGGATAGAAGCCCACCTTCGTCCCCATTTGAATGTTTTAGAGGAAAAACGGCACCATTTGGTACGGTTTAGAACTGTGAATCAGCTAATCAAAATTCTAATTCCAAGGGAAGGAAATTAGTGTTATCTTAACTGTACTTCAGAACCCCCTAAATCCGCCACTGCATGACG